CACACACACACACACACACACACACACACACACACACACACACACAGCTGAAATGAATTTCGTAACTGAAGTTACCGTACGAACTGATCCTTTGGAAGGTGGGTGGGGTTCAGCTTTTGCAAGAGGAAGAGGAGCGCCGTCATACGGGAGCTCAGAGTAGAGCTGCTGCTCCTCATAGAAAGGAGTCTGATGAGGAGGTTCCATCTGATCTGGACACCTCCCTTTGGAGATTTTCCAGGCACATCCCACTGGGAGGTGGACCTGGGGCAGACCTAGAACTGTCTGGAGGGATTATCACTCTTCTCTGGTCTGGGAACACCTTGAGGTCCCCTAGAAGGAGCTGGAGGGAGGTCTGAGTTTCTCTCCTGGACCTGACCACAGATAAGTGGTAGAAGATGGAGATGGAGGTTCAAACCTCTTCCTGTTTCTCTGCCTCTAAAGCCGGACTCTTATTCACCTTCCAGACCCGGAAGGTTTTACCTCTCTGGTTCTGTGTGCTCATGGTCTCTGTGCTATTCTGGGCCAACGTCAGAACGTCCAGAGTTCTGAGAGGAACCTGATCTGCTCATCTCATGTGACTCAGCTGAATGCAGGGGTTCCTCCACTCAATAATTATGGATTTTCTGTCTTAACGTGCGGCTCTTAATGCACCACAGAAGAAGGGTGAAGGAAAATAAACAACTGAATTTATAGTTTATTGCTGCTGCCCAGGGTGAAGGAGTGAGCATGTTTTTACTTGTCTGTTAGTAAAATTTCTCATTTTGAAAGAACCTGATTCAAGATGGCTGACATAGCCAGTCTACCATACCAACGCACAAACTGCTCTTAGTCAGTCAGGTTCACAGCTGAAGTTTGGTGTGGTAGTAGCCGAGAGTCACTCAGATGAGATTTTGTTTAAAGCTTTGAGGTTATTTTTTATTTTTATGTTCAACTTCCAGTAACTTTTTTAATTCAGAACTTCCTGAATGAAGCACAAGCTCCGAGCCTGAAAAAGAAATCGGATGAATCCAAGAGCTGCTGGTGTTCAAGCAGCGACTGAGGAACCATACGAACTGATGATTTTATAATCAAAAACATTTGTTTAATTTTATAATTATTTATCTGCCAACATGATGGACAATAACACCTTTAATGGTGGTGCAGAAACAAACTAACTGAATAAAGCTGATTTTTAGTACAGTTTAATGTTTCCTCCCATCAGACCTGGTTGTGTGGTTGGTTGGTTGGTCTTGTTGGATGTTTGTACGATTGGTTGGATGATTAGTTGGATGTGTGGTTGTTTTGTTGGTTGGTTGGTTCAACGTCCATCTGAATGTTGGTTGGTTTTATTGTGATCCTCATAGTTTAGACTCAAATGGAGGCAGACAAGGAGAGCAGGAGTTAAATAAAAAGGAATGAAACAACAAAAACAAAAGACTGACGAGCAGCAAAACGTGCACAGATCAGAAGACGACAGGACAGAACACGTGGTGAACAAGGCAGACTGCGGAGGACCGGGACGTCTGCAGCTGTTCAGAGCAATGAGCGGGCGACTTAGTGGTGAAGAGGAGAAGTTTAAATAAGGCAGAGGTTAAGTGATAAATGAGTGCACCTGGGATGATTACTGATTGGCAACTGGTGTGAGTGATGAACGACTGGGGAGACAGGCTGAAGAGAGGGTGAAGAGTGGCATGTCTGAGCTGTCCTCCAAGGGTCCGTTGTAGGCACGAAGGAGTGGATCTGAGTCAAGGGCTCTGCTTGAGACACATCACCATACCATATGAACTCTGTCATAGCAATGTCATATCAGTCAGCCCTTTAGGATATCCAAACAACAGTTCTTTCTGTTCCTCACTGATTTGTCACAGTATGAGTGATTATATGGGACCATTAATATCACACAATACGACAAGAGGGGTATTGATCATGATGAGTGAAAATAATATACATTACACTGACAACCACACTCCCCATGTTCCTGGACAGTGGACCCCAGGAACTTGAAGTCCTGCACCTTTGTGACCTCTGCTCCTTGTAGCCTCACTGTTCCACCTCCTCCCTCTCATTCACACACATGGACTGTGTCTTACTACGACTGACTTTCATTCCTCTTCTTTCAAGTGCATACCTCCACCTCTCCAAGTTCTCTTCCACCTGTTCTTGTTCTCACCACAGATCACAATGTCATCTGCAAACATCATAGTCCACGGGGATTCCTGCCTGACCTCATCTGTTAGTCGGTCCATCACCAGAGCAAACAAGAAGGGGCTCAGAGCGGATCCTTGATGCACTCCCACCTCCACCTTGAAGCTATGTGTCACTCCTACAGCACATCTCACCACTGTCCTGCTGTCCTCATACATGTCCTGCTGTCCTCATACATGTCCTGTACCAGTCGAACAAACTTCTCTGCCACTCCAGATGTCCTCGTGTAACACCACAACTCCTCCCTCATCACTCTGTCAGATGATTTTTCTAAATCCACAAAGACACAATGGAGTTCTTTCTGACCCTCTCTGTACTTCTCCATCAACCTCCTCAAATCAAAGATGGACCTGTGGTGCTCTTTCTCTTCATGAAACCATCCTGCTGCTCACAGTCACCTCTCGTCTAAGTCTTGCTTCCACAACTCT